GTTATCGGCTAAATACCACAATTAATCGTGATTAATTCTTTTGCCAATATCGCCCAACCCTACCTACAATGTGATGTGGGTCTTTTTAGGCACAAACAAATAATGATTCCATTTTTTTGCAGCAGACTTTGAATGCACAGGAAGATGAAGAGACACGGCTACAGAGGGTTAAACAGGAAGCGGCAGTAATCAAAGAACACAATAAAAAACAAGAGAGCAAAGAAACAGTTTCCAACAAACAGGCTGCAGAAGTCGTCACGGACTTTGAGGTGGGTTAAATTGACCTAAAATCTTAAAAACACAGTTGTAACAAAAACCCAAAAACACTTAATAGTAAAACAAAATATGTGACCCAACARATCAAACTGAGGATTACAGTAAGTAAAATTTCATCAAAATGACCAAAGCACATTTTCAGATTCCTGCTTTTTAAGCTACGTTTTGATCCCTGGATCATCCTGATACATGTTTTAGAGATCTGCCTTGATTTGTCTTCTTAATCAGGATAACCCATTGATAACTGGTCTGAATACCATTTTTAGGTTATTGTAATGATTTTTTTAATGTAACTTTAAAGAGAAAACATCAAACTATATTCATATATTAGGATTTACCAGCTAGAAATGAAAAAAAAAAAAGCTTTGCTAATAGGAATAGGTCAAATTTGCAAACGTTTTAATCAAAATTAGAGCTGCCCGTTTCTCCACATATCACTTTGTGAATTATGGGTCACCTTTGTGTAAACAAAATGTAACAAGAAAAAAAAACTGTTCAGTAGTTTCTGTAGGTTTCCAAACAAACCTCTATGGCTGTAACTTATTTTAATTAGTTTGTACTTTTCATTTTTCATACCCATAAATACCCAATTTATACATTTAAAGGAGACATCTTGCCTTTTTTAAGTGAATTTTACGTATGTCCCCTTTAAGTGGGTTCTTAAAATGGCATTAACAAAGTGCTGTTAATCATTTAAACACGTCATAATCTGTCATTTCCTCCCTCTCAGCCATGTCCAAAGAAAGCTCGACAGGAGAGCAGCACAGAGTACAGCCGCTACATCCAGACAGCTCAGAGTGCTCTGAAAGCGCTCCAAGCTCTAATAAAAAGCAACGCCTGCACGACAGAAACACCTCCTCTGTGGCTCCCAGACAAACTGCAGGAGCTGCAGACCCTCATAGCTGACCTGCACATCACTTCAGTCAAACCCACTGCCTAGCAGCTTCAACATTTGATTGGTACTGTTTTTTTTTTTTCCCTTTCTCAAGATTGTGATCCTGTTTATTAAAAATATTTGAACACAAACAAGTTCAGCCGTAACTTTCATCATTGCAACACATACTGTAAACGAGGAGAGGGAGGCGTTTTATACAGTAAAATCTTTTATTTCACCAACAAAAAGCTTCAATAAATTATGTTTTTCCTACATCACATTTATTCTGAGTGCAAGCTTTTAGTAAATCAAACTTTACTCAATTAAAAACTCTGCTGCTAAAGGTTTACCTCAAACCTAACGCCAATGGTTAATTTGGCACATTTAAAGAAAAAGGAAAAAGAAAAAAAAGGCTGATATTCACTTCAATTTAAAATTCTTTATCATCTTTATGATTATTGTCAGTTGGCAAACAAATTACAAATGGCTTTCTGTGTCTAAATCCAGCACCATTGGACAGTATCTCCCTCTAATTCAAAGCAAGGTCTTATGTTAAATGTACTGATGATCCAAGGTCAGCAGCTCTAAAAAACAAAAAGAGCCCCTCCCTGTTTTTACTGCATTGCTTTACACAAGAAGTTACTTCCATTTTACTGCTCTGTGGGGAAGTGGCACTCCAGATGTGGTACAAGGATTAAAGGTCTCCAGTGGTTAAATGCTTTGCTTCGGATGGATTTTTGTGTCGAACATCACCAGCCGCTCTCCTCCCAGTCTGCGTCTCCCCAGCCGTCTGGTTCAGTCTTCAAGAGAACAAAGAGGAAACTGGTCAACCTTCGTTTGGAACATGTGGAAACCTCTAATGATGAGATTACCTTCTCATTAGCATCTTGTTTTACTCAGATTAATTTGGCAGCCCACCATCACTGGTCCTCTAGTCCTTAAACTAAACTTAAACTTGTGAAGAACAAATCTTTGAACAAAACTGGTTCATTTAGATTATTTCACAATGTTCATTTTAAAATGTGTACATTAATATAATCACTTGGCTAATCTGGCTCAACATCTAATCACCTAAAATAAAGGATTATCTGATCAATAGACTAATTTGAAATGTAATATTAAAAGGAGGGAAGCTAATTTATACTCAGATGTAATGTGATAGGTTGTTGCCACTRGATTTCAAACTGCAAAAATAAACATTTCATATTTTAGAAGGTTTGACCAAAACTAACATGAGCTTAAGTTTTAAACTAGCAGATTTCCTTATTTGTTAGCAAATAGTATATGTGATCAATACTGCTAATACAAAAAGTGAAACGTTAATTAGATCATGCTAGTAGCATGTTGGCCACTTCAATAATCCCAACTTCCAGCTGTAAAGTATGATCTTTCTCTCAAATCCATCAGGGTTACTTTTAAAAACCTTTAAGACTAGAATAGATAATTAGAGAATATTATATGCCTGCATAAGTCAGGTAAATATACAGAATTTTCCTTCTTCACATGAATATGGTCTTTTCTTTTGTCCTAAAGTTGAAAAATAATGTTAAAATTCACAATATTTTTAGTTTTATAATGGCCGTAAAAGTCCCCCTTCAACAAACTCAAAGTGGCCCATGGACCACCAGTTGATAATCACAGCTGTAGCAGGTTTCATGTCTTTGAACACATTTTATTAATGAGTRGAGGAGCAGAAATGGCTCCTGACCCAGTCAATGAATATAAACAAAACTTCAGCTGGAAACACCACTGGCATTTAGCAGATTTAACAAGTTTAAAATCTATTTAAATAGCTTAAAAATATTTATGAAAAATCTCATCTATGATCTAAAAATAGTTTAACATGAATCAGTTTAGAGCAAATACATGGGGTCTGTATGATGACGTAAATTTACCAGTTGTCAATTACTGTAATGTGAAAAGTCTTAATGTTTCTACCTTAAATATTTTATTCAATAAAAATACCAGCAATAAATTCTGAAAAGATCTGGAAAAAGAACTAAATGCATGACAAACCTCAGACATGTTGACTGCTGCGAACTTGGCAGTAAGTGTTGAAGTATCAACAGACGGGTCCAGCTCTACAGATTGAGTGGTTTTTGGCGAGGCTCCAGATGGTCTTGTGTCACCTCTCTCTATTGGCAGTACAGCTAAAGATGACAACTTAATGTTCGGCACCATATCTGCAAAGAAATCCAGTTCTGGGTCTATTTTTGCCTTTTTCTTGACCTTGATGGTAAACTCATCCCCTAGACCTTTACTTCTACTCATCTGTGGCACTGCAGATTTGTGAGATGTCGGAGAATCAGTCTTCTTTTGATCCCAGGAACTGTCCCGTGATGGGGGACTCTTGCTTTGTGGCGACTGATGCAGTGTTGTCAGTTTAAGGGGTTTAGAGGAACTAAGTTTCAGTGTTTGAGGAGTGTGTTTAACAGATGGAGTGGCGCTTTCTCTGGGAGGCAGAGTGACTGAGTCTGTGGAGGGAGCTGCAGGGGACAGATCTGAGGTGGGTTCAGTGTCCTCAAAGTCATCCCARGGCTCCTCTTCTGTGTTGTCCTGTGTCAGTCTGCTGCTCACTGAACCAACAGCTTCTGAGGCCTGAATGTGAATTTCAACAGGTTGTCCTTCTCTTCTCTCACCATCCTCACGGTCACTCCAGTCAGGCCAGTCTTCCACGTGGCCCTCTAGTCTGTCCGTCAGTTCTGAACTGTGTGACAATGGCTCCGTCTCACCGTCCTGATGAAAGCCGTTCAAGGGTAGAGACATCTGTTGACTGACATCTGGAACACGGCAGAGAAACTGGATTAGTTGCCATAGTTTTTTTCAAATACCTCTTAGAGTTAATTTTTATTTAATTTAAAGAACTAAACATAAACAGCCAACAGCTAAAGGGTCTTACCTGATGTTGGTACAATAACTCTTYGTTTTTGTCGAGTATCTGCCAAGTTTTCCATGTGACTGAGGACCAAACCCTCAGTTCCCGATGGTCTGGGAAAGAAATTTAAAGCTTTGYTAGGCTGAGCCATCTGAAGGTGGGAGCTTCCAACTATATGGACGGGAGAAGCTGAGGAATACGAGTGAAGTAAAATTAGTATCATTCAACCACAGGCTGTGCCAATTACATACTGTCTAAWTCTTATTGTGTGAAAGCTACGAAGCATTCAAACTACTGAGATCATTTTTTTCTTTTGTACATTTTTCAGCACATTTCTCGTTCCGCAGTTTCTGTCATTTCAACAATTCATATATCAAAAGTTTTAACACCATCAGGTCATTCCAGCTATGACTTTTGGTATAATACTTTTGAGATATTTAGCCTTTTTTTTGCTCTCATTGAAAATGAATTGAGCTGTCTTCAACATCCTTAAAATACTTAAAAACACTTCAACCATTCCTGAACTTTTCACCGTTTGTTCCAGTTATGCATTTTTAAACTTCTTTCTGCTAATTTCAGCTAATTGTAGCTTTTTCAGCTATTCTAATTTAAACCTTTTTGTACCACAATACTTTCAGCTTCTGTGAATTTAATCTTTTTCTGCTTCTTTCAGCTGTTTTTTGCAATTGAATTTACTTTTTCAGCTAATTTGAACTTTATCAGCAAAATTGACTTTTTTGGTGTTAATTTCTACTTCTTACCGTTTAATTTAGCAGGCATGCTCTTTGTGCTAGATTAAGTTTTTCACTACTTTTCTGCTAATTTTACCTTTTTTTTGGCTATTTTACAACAAGTTGCAAAATTTTTATACATTGTTTTTTTTTTTACAATAATCCTTCAGCATTAAGGGTTAATGCTACATTTTGACTTGTTTCTTTAGTAATACTT